TGCTTCAGGAACCAGGTCCTCAGACATGTGGAGTTTCTCACTGAGGCAGGAAATGATGTCCCTCCCTTCTGCCAGTCATCACAGTGCAGGGCTGTGGGGCAGGCAATGGCAGGGCCCTTGAGAGGCCGTGCCTGGGGCTGATGATTCGGCAGTAAGAACCAGCCTCACAAGAGACCGCACGTGTCAGCCAGCCCTGCTTAGTTAGGATGGTCCGGATGAGCCCTCCGCTCTCTGAGCAGCACCCGCTATGCTCCCTGCTTAGTCCAGCCTCCGGGCCTCTGCCCGCGCAGTCCCCTCCACCTGCGTACATCTGACTTCCTCATCGAGGGCTACCTTTTGTCTTCCCTCCCCAGCGCTCCCTCCCACGCTGATCTCTCATTTTTACCCCTTGACTGTTATCGCAAAGGCCACAGTCCTCAGGTCTGAGATGAATCACTTGATCATTATTTCCTGTGTGCCACCTGGCCTCCCTGCCCTTAGAGGTCTGGGCGGGGCTGGCCTACCTGGGGGTGTCTGCGGGCGCCAGGGTCTCAACAGCACCACCTTGTGGCCTGACTGCAGGCTGGTGGAGGCTGGATATCCTGTCTGGTACAGGCAGAGCTCATTGGGCTTGGGCTGTCCGCCTGCCTGGGACTTCAGGCCCTCTCGCTGCGAAGTCACGGAGGGTGGGTGTTGAAGGACGAGGGAGGCAGAGCCTCGGGTGTTCTGGGTGACCAGCACATGCTTCCCGGATCGAGCGCTAAGTAAAGCACCGTGGGGCAGCTCTGTGCCCAGGCCAGGCCGTGTCTCTTCCAATGTCATCCTTCCCTCTTCGGCCTGCTCGGCCCCAGAAATGCTCCGGATTGTCCTGCTTCAGGTTAAGCACAGAAGGCCCTTGTGAAGCTGCAGTTATGACCTGGGAGGGGGGAAGCCTGCAGCACCAGAAGTGCTGCGACCCACACTGGGGCTCCTCCGAGTCCGCTGCTGTGCAAACGCGGCTTCCGGACGAGGCCTCAGCCGTTCTGTCCAGCCAGACCGCGGCCCCTGCCCGACTGTGTCCTCCTCAGAACTCCCGAGGCCTCCCGGGCATCCACTCATTACCCGTCGTCCATCCCGTGCCTGAATATTCTGTTCCGAGGGAGCAGAGGATGAGGTTTAGGGTCATGGGCAGCTCGAGGGCACTGAGAACTTAACAGGGGGTTGGGGACGGAAGCGGGAAGAGGGCCTTAGAGAGGGGTGAAGGCGCCAAGCCCACTGCGCCCCCTTCATCGGTTTCAGGGTCCGCCTCGCCATAGCTCTCCTGGCATTGCTGTCCAGAGCCCACCGGGCCCGCCGGATAGCCGGATGCAGCCCCCCCTTCCCCAGCCCGCCTCCCAGGCCCCCGGGGACCAGAAAAGATTAGCTTCCTGGAAAGAGATCTGGAACAACATGGAATTAGGCCTTCAAGCCACAGGGGGTGAATTGTGGTTGCTGGGACCCCAGAGTCCTCTGAAGTTTGGAGGCCCTTTTTCTTACATGATGCATCAGACTTCACAGGCGAGCCAGGGCAAGCCTTCCTAATGGCCCCCTTGGGAATGGACTGCCCTGACCTGGAGGGGAAGGACTGGACACCCTCCGATGCCATCGATGCAGATAGCGAATGCCCCACGGTAATGCCCCCTGGAGCAGTGCCCGCCTCACCCTCCTCACAGGGCTGGGTTTCCCTTCCAACTTAAACTGTCCAGCAGCTTCTTATTCCCTTCCTGTTGGCAAAGGTGCCCCTCCCTGGAGTCGCTTGAAAGGGTGTTTGGTTGGAATTGCTTCATCTCTTCATGTTGAGCCAGAGACTGAGTTTAAACCTGTGGTCATGAAACCAAACTCATGATTACCTGCTCGTTAATTCCTGTTAGGGCTTTCACTGGTGGGCAGTGTCCCCGGAGCCCTCCTGCCAGCCAATCCCAAAGAATGGGGTGGTGTGACTTCATGTGCACAACTGGGTCACCCCCAGATCCTGGACAGCCCCTCCTATCTGCTCGGGAAGAGGGGGTCGTGGCCGAAAAGGGAGCCCAAATGGCTGTTCTCTTCTGCAGATGGGAGGGCTCACAACAGGTGGGAGGTCTGCAGCCAGATCTGCTTTGCCTCTGACCCCGCCCTCCACGGAACCCTTCCCAGGTGGCCCCCTCCTGTAATGACCTCTCCATCTCTGAGCCACGCCATTCTCCATGTAAGTTCCTCCTGCCTCTGCTAGAGTGTCCCACACAGGCCTCCTGGGAGGTGGGGAGAAAGTGAGGGGAGGACAGGTGGCCCAGACACCCCACCGCCTCCAGTCAGACTCATTCTCGACCCACCCGACCTCGGTTCAAATCCCCTCTCTGCCACTTAGTGGCTGGGCGACCTCAGGCGAATGACTTAACCTTTCTGAGCCTTGGTTTCATCACTGTGAAATGAGTATAACTGTGTCTGCCTCATGGAGTGACAGGAAGTTTAAGTGAAATAATGTATGTGAGACATTTCACACAGTGCCTGGCCAGGGTGGGCCTCCGTTAGGTAAGCCATTGTTACCCACTGTTATTTCTACTTGTTTTAAATATCGGGTCTATAGATAAATTTCATTCGGAAGAGGAGAAAAGAAGCTTTTTGGGAGCCAGAGAGTTCCAACTAGCCCATTTTATACATTACCACGTGTGGCCAAGCAAAGCGAAAGCGATTTTCTGCTACGGTGTGACCTTACCTCCTTTATGTCTTGCTGGAGAAAAAGTGCTTTGAGGTCAAAGACCACACTGGCTGCACCTCTTAACCACCCCCTACCCCGACCCCCACCAGCCCACTGTGCCCGGCACAAGGCTGGGCCCACTGTGGGTAAGGGTGTCCTCCCTGGGTGACCCGATGGCAAAGTGGCAGGCAACTTGAGGTCCAAGAAACAGACGGTTCTGCTTCTCCCCGTGGCCCGTCCGCCCATCTCCTCTGTTTGGTCTTTGCTGACGCACCCAGGTTCAAGCTGCATCCTCGCCCGACACAGCATTTTATCTCACTCATCAACAAGTGTAAAGTGGGCACCGATTCTGTGCCACTGGGCCCTTCAAACCAGCTTTGCTCCAGTCGCCAATCTTCCTGAAGTAGATTTGCCGTGGCCTTGGGTTTGTTCTAATGTTTGCTCTGAAGTAGCCTGGAGTTATTGATCCCAGAGACTCAGCTGCCAGAATTCCCAAGAAAGTTCCCCAAGTCTCAGAAGCAAAAAACTCCCAACCGTCAATTCCCAAGTCTTGAAGGACCCACAGGGCGTCTCTGCAGCAGCTGCAGAGGAGGAGGCGGAGGCCCAAAGTGGCCGAGGGCAGGCCTCGGGACTCCGAGGTGGTCTAGCGCCCTTCCTGAGGAGCGGCAGGAGCTCCCGAGGCCCACACTGCTCTGGTTGCTCCTCTACAGTCATTCACCAAGCTGTTCGTGTGGGGAGGGGGGGCCAGTCCGGGGCAGAGTGGGACCGGAGGCGTGAGGGAGCCCCCACAGCCCAGGATCGGCGACAGCAGACCTCTGGGAGATGTGCCCTGAGATGTGCGGTGGAATCAGCTTTGCCTGCACACAGTGAGCAGGTGGCATCCACCATCATGGCGGCTCTCCCAACACCTGAGGCCTCCCCTAGCCAGGGGCAGGGAGCCCCTCAGGCCCTGCTCAGCAGGGAGGCCTCAGAGCTGGGGGAGACCTACAGAGAGTGGAGCCTAGGAGAGGAGGGAGGAGGCAGGCAGGCAGGCAAGCAGGGAGAGAGGAGGCAGGCAGGCAGGCGTTCAGAATAGCGGAGAATACAAAATGAGCCGCTGGTTTTACTCACCAGGGCCGGGCCAGGCTGCCCTGCCTTGGGATCACACGGCCCTCCCCAGACACCAATAGGCTTAGAAGACTAATCAGCCTCACAGGCACATTTCAATAGCTGGGAAGAGAAAGCAAGCCTTTCGGATTTCAGCATCTTTGGGAAAGATGCGTCTAAGCCTCATCCTTCTGAGCCCTTTCCTGGCAATTTTCTCAAGTACCCCTGTGATTTATTAAAAACCCACCTTGTGACCCAGCTGGTGACTGAACAGTTGGTGGATGGTGCGGGGGAAGGGTGTGGGGGAAGCTGCCTTCCCAGACCTGGCTGCTGCCCCCAGGTAGGACGCAGAAACTCTCGGAGCTGTTTTCAAACTTGAACTACTTAGTCCAGGCAGCTTAACTGAGCTGGAGAACGAAACGACAGTGGTGACGTTTATTGCACGTTTTTTTCTTCGTGCCAGGATCTGGGCCAGAGGCTTGACCTAAAGGTTTCATTGAGTCCTTCTGGGAGAAACTCTTATTTCTGATCATTTCCAGAAAACTAAGGCTGAGCAGTCAAGACCAAGGTCCCACAGTGACAGGTAGCAGATCTGGGATTCGAACCCGGGTCTGCCAACGCCAACCCATATGGCTACTGAGCTCCCCTCCCCTGGCTGTCGGGTCGTCCTGTTCACGTGTCCTTTTGCCCATTCCAGACCCTTTTGCACATGACTTTGAGGCTGGACAGGTATTCACCTCACATCTGCCCTCTAAGGAGACGGCGCCCCCAGAGTGGCCGGGGGGCATCGGCCGGGGACATCGGCAAGCTCAGAGGGGGCTCGCTGATGACTGGGCTGTGTCGCACAGTTCCTCACACCATGAGCACTCGCATGCCTCATTCAGTTCTGACCACAGGCCCAAGACGTGGGGACATCATCACTGATGTTCTGCAGACAAGGACAGTGATGCTCAAAGGAGCCATGTGACCTCCGTGAGGTCACACCAGCTGAAAGTGGCAGAGCCGGACACCTGACCTGAAGTCTGGGCTTGTTCACCACCTTCCAGCCCGGCCACGTCCCTGCACCACGGAACACTGTGCGTGGCCCAGGGCCAGGCGTCGGCAGTAGGGGCAGACGTGCCCACCACACTCTAGGGACCAGTGTGTGCCCAGCAGCTGTGGGTGGTCCCCAGTGGTCCTGCCCCTCCCCACCCCTACCCCCCACCCCCAGCACTGACCAAGTCCTCTCTTTTCCTCCCTCCAGTCCCCAGTTTTCATCGCCGAAGTTGGCCAGGACCTGGTCTCGCAGGCGGAGGAGAAGCTCCTTCAGAGGCCGTGCAAAGAACTCTTCTCTGCCTGTGCACAGTAAGTGCCCCAGCCCCCCGGCCTCCCTCCCTGGGCCGGCGGCATCAGGCCCCTCCGCCTCCTCTGGGCAGCCACACAGCCGCCCGGAGAGGGGCTGCCTGCAGCCTTTTCATCGCCGAAGTTGGCCAGGACCTGGTCTCGCAGGCGGAGGAGAAGCTCCTTCAGAGGCCGTGCAAAGAACTCTTCTCTGCCTGTGCACAGTAAGTGCCCCAGCCCCCCGGCCTCCCTCCCTGGGCCGGCGGCATCAGGCCCCTCCGCCTCCTCTGGGCAGCCACACAGCCGCCCGGAGAGGGGCTGCCTGCAGCCTCCACCTGGAGCGCTGGGCACGGCGGGCAGATCTTCAGTGGCCGGGGGCCCCGGCCAAGCCCCCCAGCCATTCACATACTTCTTAAGCAGCGAAAAACATACCAGGGGCCAAGTCCAAAGAAAACATCTGCTTCTGGGTGTTGAAAGCAAGAGGCTCTTTGGGCTGTTGAGACAGACGAATGTGCAAACACCCGGCCCGGCTGGGTGGTTCGGAAATCCTTCCCAGGTCGCTCGGCCCCCACTGCTGCCACCAGCCAAGGCCAGGTGGCACTGTTGTTGGGGGAGCCGCAGGCTGCCTTCTCAGCCACGCCCCATCATCTCTGCAGACCATGGAATATGAGAATTCAGTGGGTGTGGTGCCAGCCGTGTACCAGTTAAGCCCCCACCCATCACACACACACACACACACACACACACACACACACACACACACGCACGCACCCCCGAAGGCATAACACACGTGTTCGACACACACACTCTCTCTCTCACACACACACACACACCCCGAAGGCGTAACGCACGTGTTCATGTGCCCGCATGCACTGCTCCCCAACAGCTTACTCACGCATGCACACCTAAATACGTCTGGAGCCGGCTCGCCCCACATAGCTGCATGACCACAGGGGCTTTTTGCGTGCCCTTGTTCAGCCTTGCACCACAGACAGTAATTGGGCACCCGCTGTGTGCCTGACACTGTGCTGGGTGCTGGGGGACACCACAGAGAACAGGAACCCAGTCCCCGCTTTCATGGAGCTGACCGCCGGTGGGGAGGGCGAAAAAGCCAGCACCCCACATACCGTGAGCACAATGGTGAGGATGGACATCTAGGGAGGGCCAGCTTGGGCCCAGCGCTGTGTTAGGTGCCAAGGAGAGACCACCGTGAGCAGAAACAAACCTGGTCGCTGCCCTCTTGGAGCTGGCCGAGGGTCAGATCTGACAACCGGTGAGGTCCCCGGGCTGTCGCTCTGACCTTGAGGGAGCAGCCGTCCTGGCTCCCGGGCCAGCCCCGGTTTTCAGGTTTCGCAAGACACAGCCTCCAACACGCCCCCACGGTGCATGCCCCCTCCTTCCCCCAGGCCCCAAGTGCCTGGGCCAGATTGGTCGGCATCGCCACTTTCCAAGGGTCAGACACCTAACTCTGCCTGCAGCCAGGTTCAGCCCGGCCCGCAGCAGGTGACCAGTGAGTTCCGCTGTAGGAATGAAAATCTCCCTGTGGCTTTGCGGGTCCTGGACCAAAGCCAGAGCCTGGGCCCTCAGGGGCCACTTCCCCTCTCTGCCCCGCCACCACCCACGATCTCAGAGTCCCCTCCCCTCCCCTGCACGAAGTTCACGCTGCCACTTGTTGTCATCTCTGCTCCTGTCCCTTCAGCAAGATCGCCCTGACCTCCCAGTGACCTCCCTTAACCTCAGTGAATAAGAGCATGTCCCCATTCAATGTTCGTTATTTACCACTGTGATGTCCCCCATCACGCTGTCCCCCACCCGCATGCTCACTGCTGTACCCCGGGCCTGGACCGTGCCCAAAGCGGATACCCAATACACGTTTGTGGGCTCAGCCAGGCATTCTCCAACAACCTTCTAGAACGATGGGGCCTCTGTGTTTGCAAGTCTGGAAATGGATGAAGCTGGAGCGTTAACCTGCTGGATAAGGCTCTGCCCTTCTGCTTCGAGATCGGGATTATAAAATGTTTCTCTGTGTGTTCTCTCTGAGCCAGGTCTGTCCACAACTACCTGAGTGGAGAACCCTTCCACAACTATCTGGACAGCATGTATTTTGATCGCTTTCTCCAGTGGAAGTGGTTGGAAAGGTGAGCACTTCCCCGACACACCCCTCGCATGAGTGTGCCAGCATGTGCGTGGGGGATACAGGTTTCCACCCGAGAAGTCATATAAAAATGTCACCTCCATGGTCCCATGGTTCCAATTAAATTGAGCATCCTTCTCCTATTACTTAAGTTCTTGTGTATTCTTCTAGAAGTGCTCTGCGCTTGTTAAAGTGTTCTTAAAGGTGAGCACTTCCCCGACACACCCCTCGCATGAGTGTGCCAGCGTGTGCGTGGGGGGTACAGGTTTCCACCCGAGAAGTCGTATAAAAATGTCACCTCCATGGGCCCATGGTTCCAATTAAATTGAGCATCCTTCTCCTATTACTTAAGTTCTTGTGTATTCTTCTAGAAGGGCTCTGCGCTTGTTAAAGTGTTCTGACACACAGACACACAGACACACACACACTCAACAACTCATGTGCACACGCGGCATCCAGGCACCTTGCCCTTTTCTGGTTCGCTGTCCTTGGGAACCGTCCTTCACCAGCGAACGAGGAGCTGCCGTGTTCTTTGAATGAGTCCCGTGTGCCTCATTTAACCCATCGATGGATGTGGAGGTTGCTCTCAATGTGGCGTGCAACCTTCCCTAAGCGATGAAAACCTTTGTACGTCCACCTCTACGCACTTTTGTAAGCACAGCTGTAGAAATTCCTAGCAGAGGAATTTCAGGGTCAAAGAGCACTGATTCGGGGTCAAAGTTGCCCTCCCGAGCGGCGGCCCCCAGCGTTCAGTCCTGTCTACGTCCCAGTGCGGGCTTCCTCTGAGCTTCATCAACACTGTCTCGTATGTTCCCGTCCGACACGTGAGCAGCACGGTCCCGTCTCGTTTATCCTTTCATCTCTAACAGTGGGTGAGACTGGGTGTCTTTCATGCTTTATTTGCTGCTTTGTTCTCTGCAAAGTGCTCTAACATGCACGGTGGGGACCTGGCCAGGCAGATGCGGCCTCCGTGTGACTGATGAGGAGCGGAGACAGAGAGAGGATGTGGCTTGCCTCGTCACCCAGCAGGCCAGGCATGTAGCCAAGGAGGACCGTGGCCCAGGACCCCTGGCCCAGTGCCCTGCCCACCATGACGTTTTCAGGGTTTGCAGGGAAGAGTGATGCCTGCTTTAAATCCAGCCTGGGGGATGAGGGCAGGAGCGCCCCCTTCCACAGCCCAGCGCTCCCTGTGCCCCAGAGCCCTGGCACCCGCCGCCATCTGGGCACGCTGTGTTTGGAGAGCAAGGAGCCTCCTGCTCCTGCGTGTGTGTCAACACCTTTGCTGGCCGAGTCCCCTACAGACGCTCAGGAAGCTGCAGATCGTGAGCCCCTAGAAGCCCGTTCACGGCCCTTCCCGGCCCACTTCAGGAAGCCCAGAGTAAAACACCCTGCCCATCGGCCACCAGGGGACATGTCTCTCCACCCTGACCAACGGGGATGACAGAGCGAGCAGTGGGTGGCCTTCTCTGTTAACCCGCTGACTGCCACTGGCCACCTGGCACATGCACGTCACGGCTCCAGGAGAGACAGAGGAGTGAAGGCTCAACCCAGACGTCCTGCCGAGGGCATGAAGCCCGGCTCTGGGCCCGAGTCCTGCCTGTGCCTCCTCCAGAGGGGCCTCTCCACACCTCGGTTCCCTCACCTGTAAAATGAGGATGACGGTGCCTGCTTCGGGATGAAGATGAGATGAGATAAGCGTAGTACGTGCCTGGAAAAGGCAAGTGCTCAACAAAGGTCAGCCGTTTGGCCCCAGGAAGTTAACAGCTGAGTAGCCGTGGCGGTCATCATGGAGTCATCCGCATCGTCATGGCCGTCACCCTCAAACGTCTGGTGTCGGGAGGAGCAGCAGACCCATGTGGAGGGTCAGTTCTGGTTCCGATGACCAACGTCTGGTGTCGGGAGGAGCAGCAGACCCATGTGGTTCCGATGATCATGGTTCCGATGATCGTGGCAGTGGTGGGGATGTGGTCACCGTGCCCCAGCCCCACCCTGGAGCCCTGGGCTGTATAACACACAACCCCAACCTGCACCCACCTTCCTGGGGGAGCGTGTGGGGCCAGCATGCTGAACGTGGGCTCTGCAGCAGGCAGGACTCCACCTCTAACCCCGCCACTTACCATGAGTGACCTTGGGCGATGACATCTGACACACAGTAGCTTACAGAAAGCTTTTGGATGCAAATGCCTTCGCAATATCTCCACTTTATTGAAGCTGCGGGACTCAGAGAGGCTGATGGATTGGGCCGCACGGCAGGGGCTGGCAAGGCCGGCTCAGCTCCAGGTCGTCGCTCGAGTTCTTCAGCCCTGGTCCACACGGTGCTCCCGTCCCAGTGGGATCCTTCAGCTCTGGCCACTGACTTGCATTTTACTTGTCTGTACCAAGCACGTGAAATGGAGAAACACTTTTTAAATCCGAAACGTTAAGCTCTTCTGCATTAACTCGTGGAAGCCAGTGGGGCAGGACCCTGGCCTAGAAATGTCCTAAATGACTGGCAACACCCCCTCCTTCCCGTTCTCCTTTTTTTTCTGCTTTTTTTTTTTCTTTTGGGGTTCACTAACAAGATCATGGCCCCCTTAGTTGAAATATTAAAGGGATTTTTTTCCCTCCCAAGGTTAACCAAGAAATTCCTCGGAAATTGAATTACACTTATCTCCCCTAGCAGAGGGGTCTGCGGGAACGTCGTCCGACCGTTCGTTCTCCATGTGTCATAAACCGTTCGGCCGGACGCCTTCACGTGGTTTGGAGGCAACTGTAGGGAACGCTCCCAGGGCTCGTGGCCGACGCGGGCGCACAGCAGGCTTCTCCAGGGCCCAGGCTGCTCGTATGCAGAAGAAAGACACAGAGCACTGGAGAGTCCCGCCGAGCTTCCGGAAGAAACGCCGGGAAGAGCGAGTCACAGCACGTGGGTCCCAGCCGGCCCGCCAGGGGGGCCTGGGCTTCAGGTGCCAGAGACGTGACTTCCCGTGAACCCAGATCCTCTTCAGGACCCAGCAGCCGGGACTGCTTCCATGGAAGAGCCGTTCAAGAGGTGCTGGGTGACCAGAGGCTCACGGGTCTTTCTCGAGCTGGCCCAGTTCATTCTCGCTCCAACCCCCACCCTGGTCAGGACTCTTGGGGTGGGGTTGGGGGGTACTCAGAAAGAGTCTTGGAGATCCAAGAGCCGATCGTAAACTGTTAAACTGATTGGTTTTTATCCATTCATCAGTTGATGGACATATAAGTTGTTTTCATATCTTGGCTATTGTAACTAATGCTGCAGTGAACATGGGAGTGAAAAGTGTGTGTGTGTGTGTGTGTGTGTCTGTGTAAAAGAAGGAAATCCTGCCATTTATGACAACATGACTGAACTTGGAGGACACTTGCTAAGTGAAATAAGCCAGACGTAGAAAGACAAGTACTGCCTGATCTCACTTATATACGGAATCTAAAATCGTCAGTCTCATAGAAGCAGAAAGTAGAATGGCGGTTGCCAGGGGCGGGGAGGGGATCGGGAAATGGGGAGAGGTTGGAAAGGGGTACAGACTTTCAGTTATGCAAGATGAGTAAGTTCTGAGGACCGAGGCTCAGCCTGGCGGTGATAGTTAGCACTGCTGTACTGTGTACTTGAAATTTGCTGAGCGTAAATCTTAAGTGTTCGAGAGA